ACAGTCCAGGCCACCGCTGAGAGGCCAAGGGTGAAGGGGCCCTGTGAATGGGGACCCAGGCGGCCTCTGCTTTCCCTGAGAAAGCACTGAAGGCTCAGTGGTGTGGGAAGACAACACGGCCCAGCTGTGGGGGAGCCTCCGAGGGCTGTGACATTGACGCTGTCGCCAAGGCCTGCTGGGGCAGGGACAGGCATCCCGACACGGTCTCCTCAGCGGGGCCTCGGCAGCCTGGCCCCACAGCAGCCTGGGCCCCAGCCCCAGCCGCGTAGCCCTGCTCCGAATTTCACACCATGTCTAATCCAATCACCAGCAGATTGCAAACTCTCTGCTTACCTCCCAGATCGAGAATTCTTGGCCGGCTCGAGCAATAGGCCCCTTCCCAGCCCAGCCGGCTGTCCTGCTCATCCATGTAAACCATTCTGCAACTCTCCCCCTGCCCCCACCTCCCCTTCTGGGCCCACCGAGTTAATCCTGTTTGCCCGGTCTGTCAATTTAAACAGCTTTAAATATGCCTCACCAGGTCCGGGTGGCAGAACCCTGATGCTTAAAAACAGAGGCCTTGCATCAAAGGGGGTTGCGGTAACGGGGGCCACAGGGGTGTCATTCAAAAACACAAAAACTACCCCTTGTTAAAAAACAAAAAGAAGCAATCCAAATGAATCACACACATAAAGAGAAAAACATCACCATCCAGCAAAATGAAGTTCCCTGTAATACGCTGAAAACCAGCCCCAAGGTGGAACTATGTTGGTGGTGTGGTGGGCACGGCCATAGCTCAGCACACAGGAAGGGCTTTGCATATGATCAAAGTCAGATCGATCCATCCATCTGAGGGAACACTCCTGCACTCCTTCAAAGTCAAAAGGGTTGGGCTGGATGGCTTTCATGATTCTGTAACTGAGTGCTGGCGAGGGCTGAGGGCAATGTGTGCTGTATAGAGACAGATTCAGATGCTCTGACACAGAATCCAGCTCTGGGCTGAAGCTCTGCCCCAACGTTTACAGTGAGTGACGGAGAATAAGCCCCAGCCCATTGCTCCTCAAACCTAAAGCATAAATGAATCAGTTGGTGATCTTGACAAAAAAGCAGAATCTGATTCAGTGGGTCTGCAGTGGGGCCTGAGACTGCATTTCTACTGAGCTCCCAGGTGAAGCTGACACACCTGTCTCATGGACCACATTTTGAATAGCAAGAGTTTAGATAGAACTGAATACCTTCAGCCTTGAACTCACTTGTCTCAGTTTCCATTTCCCTTCCTGTCTCTGGCCCCCTTTCAGGCCCCTGTCTTTTCTATTCCCTTCTCCATGAGGAACAAGACAAGAGAAACTAGTCTTGCCGTTAAAGCATGTGATGTCTAGATCATAGGTCAGAAAGGTGGTCTTCCAGTCTGTGTCGTGTTGATGGAGTTGCCAATCACGAAAAAAGTGTGAGTAAGCAGGGGCTGCTTCTGGGGAGGGTCTCTTCATAGAGGAGTAAATGAAAACTCAGCTGAAGTCAGGGGAATGGATGAAATGTTTCTTGAGGGAGCCCTCCCAACCCAAGTTTCTGTTATTCTAAGTCAGATACTTGGCTTTGATAAGGGAAAGGAATCTGTCCTCCCTCTTTCTGGGGAGGAGAGTGACCCAAAGCCTGGGCTAGGCACTGGTATTTCTCTTCAGAGGACTTTGGTTACAAGCAAAGCCATGGGTCTTGAGAAATACAGGGCAGAAAGGGTCGTTTGCACTGGTTTTCTGAGATTTGTTTGACTTCTAGAAAGAGGGGTAGTCCCGCTGCCCCACAATTGCTAGAAAACAGAGACTTCTAACCACAGTGGCATTTAGCTTGCCTCATAGCACATTCCCTCCTCATACACCTTTCCCAAACCCACCCAATCCTCCATGTCATCATCTCCACAAAAGGGACAAGGCCAGCTCAGCCCACTCTGATTGCACATTCTCTACTTGGAGTACTCCCTGCAGAAGGTGGAAGGCAGGATTTTGACATGAATCATAGGGGCCCTAAATACGACTTGCAATGCTGGAGGAGGAAGAAAAGCAGGACAGTTTCTAGGAAGAGCCAGCCAGTCAATGCACCAGGAAGACAGGAAAATGAGCTTTGGTAGAACAGCACGTTGGGGAGGTGACCTTGATCACAGCTTGACTCAAGGCAGCAGCCACCGTGGAGCATATGAGTAATGGGGGCTGAGTGGTAGTGGATGGGTACAGGAGAGGGTTGGTGGAAGAGACAGGGAGGCTGGTGTGAGTGTATGTGTTATTTATTATTATTTTTTTTGATGGCATCTCACTCTGTCACCAGGGTTGGAGTGCAGTGGTGTGATCTCGGTTCACTGCAAACTCTGCTGCCTGAGTTCAAGCGATTCTCCTGCCTCAGCCTCCCAAGTCGCTGGTATTACAGGCGCCTGCCACTGAGCCTGGCTAACTTTTGTAGTTTTTAGTAGAGACAGGGTTTCACCATCTTGGCCAGGCTGGTCTTGAGCTTCTGACCTTGTGATCCACCTGCCTCGGCCTCCTAAAGTGCTGGGATTACAGACGTGAGCCACCATGTTCGGCCGAGTATATATGTTATTAAAAGTAGAGTCCAAAGTGAAACCACATAAGAGAGGTAACAAAGGGGAAGTGGAGCTCAGAGCACTGAGTTAAGATCTTTACCTCTTTACCTGGAGCTTTATCTCAACCACACACAGCCTTCCTCTCAAGGCAAGAGAAGTGCTAAAGGTGCTAAGAGAGACTCTTACTCTCAGTCCTGCAAGTGTGTCTCATGCCTCGCTTGTCTCACCCTCTTAAGTCCTGAGTCTGTTTTCTAAGGGGAAGAGAGGCAACTGTTAGTCCAGAGGGTAGCTGAGTGATTGCAACCTCTCTCTTTCTCTCTCTTCAAGCATTTACTTAATACCCACTGTCTATTGGACATTGTGCTAGAGTTGATAATAAGACTGAAGTTATGCTCCCTGTCCTTGAGAAGCAAAAATTCTTGACAGCAAAAAATAGCTGCATACAAGATAGTTTTCTGTGCCTGGCTTTTCTGTGCCTGGCTTATTCCACTTGACATAATGTCCTCTAGTTTCACACATGTTGTTGCAAATGACAGAATTTCATTCTTTTTTTATGGCTGAATAATACTCCATTGTACACACATAGCACATTTTCTTCATCCATTCATTCATTCGTAGGTACTTAGGTTGATCCCACATCTTGGCTATTGTGAATAGTGCTGCAGTAAACATGGGAGTGCAGCTATCTCTTTCTCATAAATGTATACACTTATTACGTACCCATAATCATTAAGATAAAAATAATTTTACAAATAGTTTTACAAAATGAGATGTTAAGCCATGTGGTGGGTTCATGAGTATTCTTTAAGCTTTCTGCATGTCTCACATACTTTGTACTAAAAATAAAGTAAATTAAAGAACAGCAATGAAGACACAGGGAAATGTAGAAAAAGCAAGGAGGGTTTTGTGTAGACCCTGGGAGAAGAGTGCATAGTACTGCAAGCTATTAATCGAGCGTGGCCTGATACCACTGAAAGCAAGTTGGCCCTGATGATTCAGAGCGATCATCAGTCATGAGAAGACTAACAGAGGTTCTAGGTACTTACCTTTGCCATTATTGTCTTTCAAAGGTTTTGTTTTCTCGTGTATTGTATGTAAGAAATCGTTGCTAAACCCAAGATATCTAATATTTCTCTCTGTGATTTTGTGATTTCCTTATGTTTTATGGGTTTAGCTCTTACATTTTTGTAAATGGTGTGAAGTAAGGGTTGAATTTCTTCTTTTTCTTTACATATAGTTAACTAAACTTTCCTGAACCATTCATTAAAACTTACTCTCTCTATTAAATTACCTTGACATTTTTATCAAAAATCAAGCCACTATATGTAAGTGAGTTTACTTCCAAATTTCTTTTTTGAGATGGAGTTTCACTCTTGTTACCCAGGCTGGAGTGCAATGGTGTGATCTCGGCTCACTGCAACCTCCGCCTCCTGGGTTCAGGCAATTCTCCTGCCTCAGCCTCCTGAATAGCTGGGATTACAGGCACGCGCCACCATGCCCAGCCGATTTCTGTATTTTTAGTAGAGATGGGGTTTCACCATGTTGACCAGGATGGTCTCGATCTCTTGACCTCGTGATCCACCCACCTCAGCCTCCCAAAGTGCTGGGATTACAGGCTTGAGCCACCGTGCCCGGCCCTACTTCCAGATTTCTAATTCAATTCCATTATGGTCAGAGAATGTACTTAGAATATACTTGGTAAAACGTAAATCCTTTTCAATTTATTAAGACTTGGCCTATCTTAGTACATGTTCTGAGTGTACTTGAAAAGAATCTGTATTCTGCTGTCGGGGGACTGTTCTATAAATGTCAAGTATGTCAAGTTGGTTGATAGAGTTTTCCAATTCTTCTATATACTTACTGATTATCTGTTTCCTTGTTCTATCATTATTGAGAAAGAATTGTTGAAATCCAAGAATATAATTGTAAATTTCTCTACTTCTCCTGAAGTTTAGTAAATTTTTGCTTCATCTATTTTAATTGTTTGGGATTGTCTTGGGGAATTGATATCTTTGCCATTGTAGATGTCCTGGTAATATTATTTGCTCTGAATTCTACTTGGTCTGATAATAATATAGCTGCTTTGGCTTTCTTTTAATTCATTCTTATATCTATATTTATTTATATATTTGGGAGAGCGAGAGAGAGAGAGCGAGAGAGTGAGAGAGAGCGAGAGAGCAAGAGAGTGAGAGAGAGCGAGAGAGCGAGAGAGAGAGAGAGAGAGCGAGAGCGAGAGAGAGAGAGAGAATTCTTGTAAGCAGCATATAATTGAGTCTTGCTTGGTTGCTAGTCAGTCAGACAATCTCTGCCCTTTAATCGCTGTTCAGACCTTTGACATTTAATGTGACTATTGGTGTATCCTTGTGCTATTGTTTTTCTCTGTGTCTTACCTGTTCTTTGTTCTCTTTTTGCCTTTTTTTCTGTCTTGTGAATTGAGAAGTTTTTACTTGAGGATTTTCTTTTTTTTTGATTTTTAGTATTTTAAATACAGGTCAAATCAGCGTGTTTGGTTCATTTCAGTTCCGTCACCGTCAAACCAGGGGGCAGGGACTGCTTCAGTTTCACTGCCTTCTCCTTGTCAGTGACGACCAGGGTGTAAAGGTATCTGCTGCATCGAACTTTAAACTTCACATTGTCCTTATTTTTCTTGATCTTGACAGATTTGGCATCTTTTTGTCGGGCTGTGAGCAGAAAGTCCTTGATTTCCTCAATTTTCCGAGGCATGGTGATGAGACGCGCTGGGAGCGGGCGCGCACCGGGAACTTCTCACCCACCTACCACCCTACAGACGCTCACAGTGAGCAACAACCCGATTTTTTTTTTTTTTTGAGATGGAGTTTTGCTCTTGTTGCCTAGGCTGGAGTGCAATGGCACGATCTTGGATCACCACAACCTCTGCCTCCTGGGTTCAAGTGATACTCCTGCCTGAGCCTTCCAAGTATCTGGGATTACAGGCATGTACCACCATGCTCAGCAAATTTTGTATTTTTAGTAGAGATGGGGTTTCTCCATGTTGGTCAGGCTGTTCTCAAACTCCTGACATCAGGTGATCTGCCCACCTCAGCCTCCCAAAGTGTTGGGATTACAGGTGTAAGCCACTGCACCAGGCCCCTTTAGGACTTGTAGTAAAAAATCTTAAACTTATCACAATATACCTTCAAGTAGTATACTGTTTTACATACTACAAGAACCTTACAAAAGCACATTTCCATTCCCCTCTCCTGACCTTTGTGCTATGATTATCATATATTTTGTAGCTACATTTGTTATGTACTTCAAAATACATTGTTATAAGTCTACTTAAATAATTTATTATCTTTTTTTTTTTTTTTTTTTTTTTTTTTTGAGACAGAGTTTCGCTCTTGTGACCCAGGCTGGAGTGCAATGGCGCAATGTCGGCTCACCACAATCTCCGCCTCCTGGGTTCAGGCAATTCTCCTGCCTCAGCCTCCCGAGTAGCTGGGATTACAGGCACGCGCCACCATGCCCAGCTAATTTTTTGTATCTTTAGTAGAGACGGGGTCTCACCATGTTGACCAGGATGGTCTCGATCTCTTGACCTCATGATCCACCCGCCTCGGCCTCCCAAAGTGCTGGGATTACAGGCATGAGCCACCGCACCCGGCCAATTTATTATCTTTTGAAGAGATTTTTAAAATAAGAAAACGATTTTATCCTTCTCTCCCTTACACATATTTACCATTTCTGGCTTTCTCATTCTTTTTTGTGGATCCAGGATCCCATCTGGTATGATTTTCTTCCACCTGAAATACTTTCATTAATAGTTCCTGTGGTTCAAGTCTGTTAGTGATGAATTGCTTAAGCTTTTATATGTTTGAAAAATTCTTTTTTTAAAAAAGTAGTTCTTTTCAACTTTTGTTTTAGAATGAGCATACACGTACAGGTTTGTTACAAAACCATATTGTGTGACGTGGTTTGGAGTACAACAGAATCTGTCACTCAGGATGAGTATAGTAACCAATAGGTAGTTTTTAAACTGTTCAAATAAAATTCCTTATTCTCCCCCACTTTTTTTACTGAGACAAAACTCACATATCATAAATTAACTATCTTATAGTAAACAGTTCAGTAGCATTTAGAATATTCACAATGTTGTGCACTTTGTCTTAACTTTTTTTTTTTGAGATGGAGTCTCACTCTGTCACCAAGGCTGGAGTGCAGTGGCACAATCTCTGGCTCATTGCAACCTCTGCCTCCTAGGTTCAAGCAATTTTCTTGCCTCAGCTTCCCAAGTAGCTGGAATTTCAGGCACATGACACCACACCTGGCTAATATTTGTATTTTTAGTAGAGATGGGGTTTCGCCATGTTGGCCAGGCTGGTCTCGAATTCCTGACCTCAAGTGATCCACCTGCCTCAGCCTCCCAAAGTGCTGGGATTACAGGTATGAGCCATCGGGCCAGGCATGACTTAATTTCTGAAAGATGGCTGGGCGCAGTGGCTCACACTTGTAATCCCAGCACTTTGGGAGGCCAAGGCAGGCAGATCACTTGAGGTCGGGAGTTCAAGGCCAGCCTGACCAACGTGGCAAGACCCTGTCTCTATTAAAAATAAAAAAAAATTGGCCAGGCACAGTGGCTCACGCCTGTAATGCCAGCACTTTGGGAGGCCGAGGTGGGTGGATCACCTGAGATCAGCAGTTTGAGACTAGTGTGACTGACATAGTGAAACCCTGTCTCTACTAAAAATACAAAAAATTAGCCGGGCGTGGTGGTGGGTGCCTATAATCCCAGCTATTTGGGAGGCTAAGGCAGGAGAACCACTTGAAACCAGGAGGCGGAGGTTGCAGTGAGCCAAGATTGCGTCATTGCATTCCAGCCTGGGCAACAAGGAGTGAGACTCCATCTCAAAAAAAAAAAATTCGCTACTTGAGGTGGCAGGTGCCTGTAATCCCAGCTACTCAGGAGGCTGAGGCATGAGAATCACTTGGACCCAGGAGCGGAGGTTGCAGTGAGCTGAGATCATGCTGAGATTGTGCACTGCAGCCTGGGTGACAGAGCAAGACTCCCTCTCAAAAAACAAAAAATGTATTTTCATGGGGTAGAGATAGATATCTAGGTTGACTAATTTTTTTCCTTTTAGTACTTAACAAAATATTGTTACATTGTCTTTTGACTAGTATTGTTTTCAACAAGAAATCTGCTGTCACTTGTATATTTGTTCCTTTGTATGTAATCTGTCTTTTTTCTATGCCTTCTTTTAATACTTTCTCTTTATCATAAGTTTTTTTGTGTGTGACAAGGTCTCATTCTGTCACCCAGGTTGAGTGCAGTGACACAAATGTAGATCACTGCAGCCTCAACCTTCCAGGCTCAAGTGATCCTCCTACTTTAGCCTCCTAAGGAGCTGGGACTACGGGTGTGTGCCACCACACCCAGGTAATTTTTCATTTTTTGTAGAGCTGGGGTCTAGTTTCCCAGGCTAGTCTCAAACTCCTGGACTCAAACAATCCTCCTGTTTTGGCCTCCCAAAGTACTGGGATTACAAACATGAACCACTGCACCTGGCCTGTCACAGGTTGTAGGTAATTTCTTTATGATGCATTATTGTGTAATTTTATTCATGCTTCTTGTGCTTGGGTTCCTTAAAGGTTGTGGAATTGTCGAGTTTTAATTTTGTCATATTGGAAGCTTTTTATCTGAAGTTTCTGTAAATATATTTTTTGTTCCTTGCCCTTAGTGTTTCCAATTATACATATTAATATAAAGGCTGCTTGAAGTTGTCCTATAATTCAGTATACCCTTTTTGTTTTTTTCAATCTTTTCATCTGTTTCATTTTGAATAGTTGCTATGGCTATGACTTTATTCTTTTTTTTTTTTTAGACAGTGTTTTACTCTTGTTGCCCAGGCTAGAGTGCAATGGTGCAATCTGGGCTCACTGCAACCTCTGCCTCCCAGGTTCAAGTGATTCTCCTGCCTCAGCCTCTTGAGTACCTGGGATTACAGGCATGGACCACCATGCCCAGCTAATTTTGTATTTTTAGTAGAGACGGGGTTTTACCATGTTGGTTAGGCTGGTCTCAAACTCCTGACCTCAGGAGATCCTCCCATCTTGGCCTCACAAAGTGCTGAGGTTAGCACTGTGCCCAGCTGACTTTATTCTTTTAGTGTCTAATCTGATATTAATTTGATCCAGTGCATTTTTATTACACATATATTTTTAATCATTAGAAGTTCGATTTGAGTCCTTTTAAATTTTTCGTACTTCTAGTCAACATGCTGTATCTTTTACTTCTTGAATGTATAGATTACAACTCTCTCATTGTCCTTATCTGTTAACTCTATCATCTGTGCCATTTCTGGATCTCCTTCTATTGATCAATTTCTTTTCTACTTTATGAGTGTTACTTTTCTGTTTTTTTTTTTTAATGTCTGGTAATTTTTCACTTGATGGCAGCTATCAAGAATTTGACCTCATTGGGCACAGATATTTTTGTATTCCTAAAAATAATTTTAAACTTTATTCTAAAGTTATGTTACTTGGAAAAAGTTGACCCCTTCGGGGCATTCTTTTGAGCTTCATTAGGTACAACCTGGAAGTCTTTACCTTAGGGCTATTTTTCTCCATTACTGAGGCAATACTTTTGTAAGTACTCTACCCATGGCTCCATGAATTATAAAGTTTTCTACTCTGGTGGGAATAGGATAATGAAATATTTGCAGCCCTGTATACGTGTCAAGATCATCATCTGCTCTTTTCCAGCTGGTCTGGACAGTTTCCTCACACACATTCGCTGACTGGTACCCAGCTGAAGACTTTCGGGAAACCCTCTGCAGACCTCTGCTGCTCTCTCTCTGCAGTTCTCTCCTCTCTAATACACTGATATTCTGCCCTGGGAACTCTAGCTCCATTGACCCTCCCAGATCCCCAGATCCATTTCTTCAACTTAGAGAGACTGCTGGGTTCTGCTTGGATTTCCCCTCCCTGTGCTGTACCCTTGAAACTCTTTTGAGGCAGGAACCAGGGAAACTCAACTTATTTGTTTCCCTTTTCTTGTGGATCACTGTCCTGTGCTGCCTGATATCAAATGTCCGAAAACCATTGATTGATATAAAGACAGATATAGTTATAGATATATACTTTGTTGGTTTTTTTATTTTTTGGTCCAGTGTGAGTGGGGAGGTAAATATGGTCCCTGCTACTCCATTTTGGATAGAAGCAGAAGTCTTTCATTACTTCTCTAGTCCTCAGCATTCTCATCTATAAAATAAGATTGTTGGATTAGAAATGGTTTATGAATTTCTTTTCCATGTCTTCCCTTTAAAACTGTTAGCTTTTCAATAAATAGCTTTTGAATAAATCACCAGTTAGTAAAAGGTTCTCAAAATGTGCTCTGCTCTGTACTTAAAAAAACCCATACTCTTAACTAATCAGAAGATTTCTCAATAGTTCCTGGCTCCCATCCCCCAAGTCTCCTTACAAATCTTGCCACATGGTTGCTAGTCAAAAAAGGTCATAAATGAGTAAAGTGTGTTATTCACCTGCAATCTAAAAGCCTATGAGTCAAAGGGCAACCTCCCTTGCCCCCTTCTCCCTTTCTCTCTTCCTCTCTCCTTTCCTCTTTTTCTCTGTTCCTTAGTCTTTTCCAACACATATTGAGTGACTACTCATTGTTTGAGACTGTGCTAGTCTCAGTGATGACGTCTGCCTGTTTCCTGGGGAAAGAGCAGCATAAAATACAACTTACCACACTACAGAAGTAATCTGAAGACACCCACTGTGAGCCTTGGCCTACCTAGCACTTAGGAGCAGCAAATAGAAACTCTGTCTCCTTTTCATTGCCTTT